AGCTGCTGCTTTGCTCTACCCCGGCGCGCGCGGTCCCTCGCTCGGGGCGGGGGCGCACCGAGGACGTTGAGCACAAGTCCGCCCGTAGATACCCCTGGGCCCGCTCGCACTTAGAGTTGCCCACCCTTCTGCCCCGGGACTTCCCGCGTCATATCCACGCTCGATGTGTGATTCGCCCCATCTCGAGGACATTCACACCTGCCACCCCCTGACCCCCCTCAGTTGCTCCCGGAACAGGTCAAGAGCCACGTTGTTTCCCCTTGGTTTGTATCTGTGTGAATCACAAAACGTGAGTGCAGGGACAAGAGCACACGTGCGAGTGTGCGATCTGAACACACAGCATGACGTCGCTGGGCTCACAGGTACAGGGGGTGACGGGGCAGACAGGGCGACCCCGTACGTACAGGGAGACTTTGCCGAGGTGTGCGGTGTACGCACGTGTTCGTACCACGTGACAGTGCCGTGTGCTTGTGCCCCTGTGCTGACGGGCAGGTATCGCGTGGCACCCACACACACAGTGACACACTTGTGGGGTCCTTACACAGCCCCCCACGGGAAATGCCTGTGCTCTCATGTCATGACACACGTGTGTCACGAGTAGGGACACAGATTCACAGGTAGCGACGTAGACGTGCACGCAACACACATTCACACCCGTAACACCTTCCGTGGGACACAGGGACATTCTCACTCTCACCCTCTTTCCTGTGCACACACACACACACACACACACACACGCACAACTCCACAAACCTCATTCACTCTGGTGCATTATTTTCTATTCACAGAATTAGGGGCAGGTTCACAGTTGGCCGGGGAACCTCTTTTCCATCTCACTCGCACCTGCAAATCTCATCCTCTGAGCTGTGACTCCGGTGTGCTCTTATTTAGATGGGGGCTCTGAGTGGGGGGAAAGGAAAAACAAAGTCAGGCGGCCCAGCCCCTGGGAAAGACCTCAGGGCCAGGCCTGCATCCCACCCTCCCGGCTTCCCTGGGCCCTGGCTTACGTGTATTTGTCTTCCTTTCCAGCACCTCAAGGATTTTCTGTATGTTTGTACGGATTTGTGTTATTTCTGATGGGACAGAAGGGTACAGGGGAAGCTGGGGTGCAGCCTCAAACAAAGCCCCACTTCCACTGGGAGCCCTCTCCACACAGCTTCCAGCCTGGGGTTCACCACAATCCTGTATTGGGAGACTCGGCATCAGCCGTTACCCCTTAGGAACCTCAAGCTTTGGGAAGGCCGCACCCTGGCCATCTCCTCCCCTGGTGCTGGGCATTAGGACAGATTTGCAGGATGGAGGGCGGGCCTGCCAAGGGCACCTCCTGTCACCATCTCCAGTCTCTCCTTCCCGGCTTCAACCCGGCTCCGGACTGTGCCGATGCTCTTGGTGGCCTCCCGGATGTCCTTCTGGACCTTGCTCCAGCCTATCCTTTGCTCTTCCTGGCACTCCAACACGGAACTCGAGACTGAGGGCGTGGGGTGACCGTGTCTGGGGACCCACCCTCCTCCTGAGCCCTCCCACCACCCTCAGGGTCTCCCACCGAATCGGCACTCACTGTTGGAAAGCTCCCTTTTCAAGCCCCGCATCTCCCTGGACATCTCCAAGTCTGTTTGGGAGGCGGCAGAGCTGAGGGACGAGCTGGCTGGAGGGGGGTGGGTCTGGGGGAGACTCCGGGTTCCCCAGGTCCCCCCGAGCTCCCTGGGGAACACTCACTCTTCACCAGGACCAGGGCGGAGAGGATGATGCAGAACGTGAAGAGCAGGCTGAGGAGCAGGGACAGGCTCATGATGGACCTCTGCAGCCAGGCGGGCACCTGGGCACTTTCCGAGGGAGGCCTGGGCCGGGTCGGGGCTGGGACGGAGAGGCCGCATGACCCGCAGCCCCGCACCCCCGCCAGACCCTCAGCACTTCTCCGACACCAGGACCATCGCTGACGTCACACAGCACATACACGGAGGCGGGGACCCCAGGACCATCAACAACTCGGCCACCACCGTTCCCCTTGACGGTCACCATCACAGACATTTTACCGCAGGGCGTCAGTGCCCAATGCTGGTTGCCAACCGTGAGCTGTGGTCGCCTTGTCCTTCCCCATCAGCCCTCTTGTCCTGTACAGTCTCCCCAACACTGTCACCGTGTCGCCCATAGTGCGGCCGGCAGCGTTTGAGACACCCCACGCCGTCTCCACCACAGTCCTCCAAGCCACCGTGCCCTGCCACCTCCCTGCAGTGCCCTTCCCAAGGCGGGGGCCAGGGCAGGTGGGGCCATGCACCTTGTTTCCCAAGTCCTGGCTTTCGGCCCTTGGGCTGGGCCGGGTCTCTGAAGGCCAGGGCGATGTTTTCATAGTTGGGGTCACAGGCATCTGTGTGATTTGGAGAGAAGGGCTGCAGAGAGCTGCCCAGATGCACCCAACCCTGACACCCAACACAGGGCATTTCTGGGTGTGCAAGGTAAAGAGGGAAGAACTAAACTCTGTTCCATGTGTGCCGGGGACACACGCACTCCTGGAGGGGAGGTGCCCTCCCGTACACACCTCCATCCCCTCGCCCCTGTCCGCCAAGCCCCACTTCCGGACCCCTCCCTGCCCACCCCCAGGTTCCTGACCTCTCCTGTCACCTGTGTCCCCCCGCTGCTCCCGCTTGTCTCTGAAGTCTGCCACTCCCTGCATCCTGACCTCTGCTGTGGATCTCGAAGGCCAGCCAGCCCCTGTCCACACCCCCACCCACCGGAAGTGTGCTGCAGATGGCGAAATCTGGGACTGGGGAGGAAGTAAGGCTTGGCCCTCTCTTTTCAGGGGTCCGTGAGTCTGCCACCCTGCAACGTTCTCACCAAGCTCAAGAGTGTCTAGGAGGGGCTGTGTCTCAGGGATGGCAAAGACAAGAAGCCACTTGACTTAGAGACAGAACAGAAATTTTACAGGAAGTTCGTGTGTGTGTGTGTGTGTGTGTGTTGGGGGGCACAGAGACTGCCTGGATAAACTCCTCTGCCTGCCTCCTTTCTGTTTCTGTCCCACTAAATAAGCTGATAGCCCCAGAGTCAGTGCAGAGGCCCTGGGTTCGATTCCCAGTCTCACACACGTACACAGTCCCCTAAAGACACAAAACAATGACTCCTGCAACCCTGCACCCACATGCGGGACTGACCCCCATCCTTGTCCTCTGCAGTGGTGGGACCCTGGAAGGCAGAGTTTTCCACTTCGTGGAGACCCTAGAGAAAGAGAAACACTCTCTTCTTTTCTATTCTTTCTTTTATTTTTTAATCCCAGCCTTCAAGAGGCTGAGGCAGGGCTGGGGATTTAGCTCAGTGGTTCCGCTACCTGCTTTTCGAGCGCAAGGGCCTGAGTAGGATCTCTGGTAACAAAGGTGGGTGGGGAGCTGAGGCAGGGAAGATGGCCGCAAATGCAAGGCCAACCTGGGTTTAAGGCCAGCCTGAATGCCCTATGAAGACCCTGTCTCAAAAGAAAAGAACGTTTGATGAAGCTGGGTGTGGGAAAATGCATCTGCAGTCCCAGCTACTCAGGAGGCTGAGGCAGGAAGATCACTTAAGCCCAGGAGTCCAGAATCAGCTACTTGAGCAACACAGCGAGACCCGCCCCCCAGTCTCAAACAATAAAACAAAAATAATTTAGAAGTAGTTAATAAGGTAGGTTAGAGTTTATCTTCTTTTTTTTTTTCTTGTCTCCCCTTGTTTGCTTTTTCACCCAGTCTTAGATATCAAGTGTATATTTGCCCTAAGGCACACCTCACTTCGGACTGGCCAGGTTTCAAGTGTTAAAAGGCTGCTATTGGACACGGCAGCTTAAGAGATTCATAGTTTTCTCTCTGCAAGAAAATGAGAAGTGTAGGACTTTCTGGTCCCGTGCAGGAAGTGAGTTCCGCCAAGGTTTGGCTTAAAATACATGGTTAAATCCAACGTAACTTTGGAATGCGCGCTGCAATCTAGTGAGGATAATGTTCTGTTTCCAAAATACTGCCAAGTCCTGTCTCCCCAGGAAAAATCAATGACATAGAGATTGGATGCCGGCTCCACTACCAGGTCTTAGAAAGAGGTCGGTCGTTCGATTACAACGGCGCGAAGAGACTGACCAATTGGAAGTGGGCTCTGCTCTGATGGACAGAGGCGGGGGCGGGGCTTCCGCACTGCGTAGTCTTACTTGGACCGGTCTGGGAGCCTGCTCCAGGGCTCTGGGTTTTTTGGGGGTTGTTTTGGTTTCTTTGAGACAGCGTCTCGCTATGTAGTAACCAGGTTGGCCTCGAACTCGCAGCAATCCTCCTGCCTCAGCCTCGTGAGTAGGAGGATTACAGACCTGTGCCAGCACACCCAGCTTGGACTTAGAGGAACAAGTAGCTGCTAAACTGGAGCCCTACAAGCAGGCGTGTCACTCAGGAAATATGCACAGGGTTCGCCCGGCCAGCACTTGCTTTTCGTGGGCTAATAGTCTGGATTTTCTTTTAAAAAGAAAACCTGTAATCCCAGCACTCAGGAGGCTGAGGCAGAAGGATTTCACGTTCAAAACAAGCCTGGGGCTGGGAATGGTGTCACCCGCCTGTAATCCCTGCTGTCAGAAGGCTGAGGCAGGAGGAACGCTGGAAGTTCAAGGCCGGCAGGAGTTGCACAGCAAGACCCTATCACCCCCTCCCCCCCAAAAAAAGCCTGGGCTACCTGGTAGCAAATTTGGAGCCAGCCTGAGCAACACAGTGAGACCCTGGGTTGGGGTTGGGGGGGTAATTTTAAAGAAAAGAAAGAATAAAGAAAAAAAATGTCGGACAGGCATGGTGTCAAATGCTCATAATCCCAGCATTTGAGAGGCTGAGGCAGGAGGCTCGCCATGAATTCAAGGCCAGGATGGGCTACATAGGAGGCCCTGACTCAACCCACCTCCCAAGAGGGGCAAAAACAACCCACAGTGCCATGGTAACTGTTGTGTGCTCTGTGTGTGGCTGTGTACACATGCAGTGTGTGCCCCTGCCCCTGCCCCTGCATGACATATCTAAGTGTACATGTGGCTATTTCTTCACATGTACTGAGTGCCCACTGTGTACCACGCCCTGTTCTAAGCATGCAAGCCGCCAAGAAGCCCTGTCTTCTGGGCCGGCTTTATTTTTCGCTTCTGTTTGTGTTGCTTTGCTGTACTGGGATTGAACCCAGGACCTCACATTAAGCTGTACCCCTGCCGGTGTACAGACGTGAAGTTGGGGCTCCTCACCCCTGGGAGACGTTCTGGGCAGGCAGGTGCAGATACTGGGGGCTCAGGGCTTGGGGCTGAGGATGATTTGGGGCCCACCCCGGCCCTCGGGTTACTGCACGCATCTGCTACCAGGCTGCCCTGGATCCTGGTGAAGCCAGTGGAAGAGCCAGGAAGTTCCTGGGGGCCTGGGACCCACCGTGGCCATCATGGCCTCCAAGCTGAGAGTCCAGGAGCCTCAGCTAGGGGTAACACTGGAGGATGCTGAGGTCCGGGTTGTGGAGGAAGAGTCGGGACACCCAGGGGAGGAGGGAGAGTGGACAGAAGACCCCCCCACTTCTGGAAGGACCCAGAGAGGCCCCATCAGTCCCCGCGCTCCGCGAGCTGAAGAAACCACGCAAAGCCTCATCTGCTCGGCCATGATCTTTGTCTCCTGGTTTATTTCCAGCCCCGCTTCCTTAGCCCCCCTAAACCGCACCATGGCGCCTCCAGGCTCAGGCGGCCATCTGCACGCGGCAGCAGCACACTGCGGTCCAGTCCATGCCCACGCACTGGCAGTGACACGTGGTCTGGGCGCGCACGTCCCACGAGCCACAGCCCCAGCCGCACGAGCAGCTGGTGACTGCGAAACCTGTGGGAAGACGGGACGGGGAGGCAGGCTGGGGCCCAGGAGCTGGATGTGGGCGCCCGGCTGGGGCCCTGGACACACCACGGGCAAAGGAAAGGGGACCCCTGAGCTGGGGGAAGGGAGCATCTGTGCATGGAGGAGATTCGTACTCACCTTCGGGACAGGTGGCCAGGTCCCCCCTGGAGGTGACGCTTGTGCAGTCCAGGGACAGGTTCTTTACAGCCTCTAAAACTGCAGGTCAGGAACAGGACCACCTGTGAGACCAAGCTGCCCCTTCACCCTCGGTGTCCCGGGGGTCCCTGGTGGCTTGGACTTAGGCAGAGAATCAAGTTTCCCTGGAGCCAGGTGCATGGTGCGCACCCATAATCCCAGCTCTCTGGGAGGCTGAGGCAGGAGGATTGCAACTTGGAGCCCAGCCTGGGCTACTTAGCGCCTTACTGAGACCCTGTTTCAAAATAAGGCTTCCCCTGGGGAAGATCTGGTGAGGAGCCAGCACCCCGCAGTACCGCTCTGCCTTGACTTGGGTGTTTTTGAGGAAGGCGAGGTTTGGGCCTAGGGGTGGGGTGGGATGGGTGGAAGTTGGGTTGACTTTGGACCTTGGCTCAGGGTAGGGCTTGGTGAGGTCCGGAGAGGTGGAGGCGTGGTTAGCGGCGGGGCTGGGGTGGGGTCAGGCTGGTGACCAGGGCCAGAGAGCCCCTGGGACCATGCTGGGTCCTCACCTAGGGAGCTGGTTTGCTCTTTGATCTTCCGATCAATGGCTTCATCCAGAGCACATGGTGATGTGCTGGACACCAGTAGCCCTGGGGCGAGGAGGAGGAAGAGGAGGGAGGCAGCCTCCATCGTGCGGGTGCTGCAGGAGGGAGCAGGAGATCCACCTCTGGGTTAGTCCCTGACCACGTGGGCACCTGGTTCCTGTGGGGACAAAGACAGAGGCCCAGCTCCGTCCCTGGCCCCTGGGCTGGGGACTCTGGGCGGACAGGGAAGGCTGTCACTCACTCACTCAGGGCTCAGCAAAACAGTCGACTGTGGGGAGCAAATCCCTGGGCCCCAGCTCTCCCAGGGGCCTCTGAGTCGCAGCTTCCGGGAATAAGCGCCCGGCTCGCCCTGGCCACATCCAGGGCCAAGAGGAGCCCGGGAGCCGCCGCGTGGGGGCTGCCGCCTCCCCACTGGTTGCTGCAATATCCCCTTCAGAGGCCCCTGTCAGCAGCGAGCGGATGTCCTACCAGCCCCTCTGAGGGACTCCCCGCAAGAGAAACTGGCAGGCTGCCGGCTGGACCAGGCCTGGCCAGTGTCTGGGGGGTCTCCGACTACGCAGGAGAGGAAGGCAAACCGGGGGTCTCGCAAGCAGCTTGGGCTGCGGCTGGAATTTTAGTTTTTGACTTACCACCGAAGTCTCGCGTGCCTCCAGATGGCCTCAGACACAGACCTAACCCTTCAAGAGTCCTGGAAGCAACGTGACCACATCGTTTCCTGTGTGGGGTTCATTGAGAAATCCTGGTCTGTCTGAGGACACTGCAATCGGCCTGTATATTTTTACTTTTATTTTTTTAACTAATAAATTTTATTCCATTTTACCCCATGCCCCCTTCAAGCCCCCTCCCTGCCCTACGTACAAAATCTCTGTCTCCAATTTTTTCCCTATGTTCACTTTTTTCTTGTCCCTTCCTTCCTTTCCCCTCCCCTGTCCCTTGTTTCCCTTCTCCTCTGAACACGGTCTTCCCATTTCCCGGCGCCTGTTCCACATCTCAGTCCTTATTTCCACATTCAGTTTCTCCCACCGGAGAAGCGGCGTGGCCTTTAAACACGTGCCTGATTTATTTCACTTAGGAGTGTGGTTTAAAGGTCCATCCACTTAGCTATAAATGTCTGAGGCTCATCCTTCTTTACGGCAGAGTAGTACTCCGTTGTGCTTGTTAAAGCCACGTCTTCTTTATCTACACATCAGTTGATGGGCAATTGGGCTGTTTCCAAGATTTAGCTATTGCAAACTGTGCTGCTATAAACATGGGTGCGCATACTTCTCTGTGATATGATTCTTTTAGTTCTCTTGGAAAGATACCCAGCAGAGGGATGGCTGGGTCAAACGGAACCTCTTGTCCCAGCTCTTTGAAGTATCTCCATATTGATTTCCAGTCCAAGCTCTTTGAGGTATCTCCATATTGATTTCCACAGTGGTTGCACCAGTCTGCACTCCCACCAACAATGGAGAAGGGTTCCTTTCTCCCCGCAACCCCACCAGCATTGGTTAGTGGTTGATTTCATGATAGCAGCCATTCTTCCAGGGGCGAGGTAGAATCTCAGTGTTGTTTTCATCTGCATCTCTCAAATGACCAGTGATACTGAACATTTTTTCATATGTCTATTTGCCATTTCTTATTCTGGTTTGTTTTTGTTTTTGTTTGTACCAGGGATCGAACTTGGGTCCTTGTGCTTGTGAAGCAGGTGGCAGAACCACTGAGCTAAATCCCCAGCTCTAATTCTTTATCTGAGAAGTGTCTGTTCATTTCAGATGCCTGTTTTTGCACTGGGTCTTTGAACTGGGGGGACCTGATTTATTTGAGTTCTTTGTATGTTCGAGATAATAGCCCTTTACCTGATGAATAGCTGGTAAATAAAACTTTTCCCACTCTGTGGGTTCTCTCTTCACTCTGTTGGCTTCTCTTGCTGTGCAAAAGCTTTCTCATAAGTTGAGGTCCCACTTGTTGATTCTTTGTAGTATTTCCTGTGTGTTCTGTGTTTGCTTCATGAAGTCTTTGCCTCCTCCTGTGTCCTCAAGCGTTCTACCCATTGTCTCTTCCATCAGATTTAGTGTGTCTGTTTTAGCGTTTAGATCTTTGATCCATTTTGACTTTAGGTTAGTGCGTGGTGAAAGATACGGGTCTAGTTTGAATCTTCAGCACACGCAAAGCCAGTTTTTCCAGCACCATTTATGAAAGAGGCTGTCTCTCTTCCAGTGAAGGTGTTTGGCTCCTTTGTCAAAGATGAGGTGGCTGAGTGTGTCTGGCGTTGTTTCTGCATCCTCGGGTCTGTTCTTTTGCTGGTACCATGCTGTTTGTATCACAGCAGACTGGAGAGCACTGATTTTGAAGGACTAAAAACTAACTAGTAAGACAGGAGGATAGGGAGCCTGGTTGGGAAAAAGGAATTCCACAGGTGCCCCTCTTGTTGGCCATTGCAGGAGATTTGGGGCTCACGTTCTTCCCCCTCCCCGAGTCCCAGCTCATCCCTTCACCCTGAAGACCCTCAGGCACAGCCTAGAGTCACAGTATCTTCGAGAAGAAAAAAATGTTTTAGGGGTCTGGGTGGGTGGCCCAGTCATAGAGCACTTACCCAGAGTGCACCAGCCCGTATTGCATCCTTTGTACCGCCCCCCACCCAAAAAGTTTTAATTTTTAGATTATTTTTGAGAACTCTGATTTTCAGAGCCTTTAGCCTGAGAACTTTTCAAGTAAAAGTTTTTGGAGGATGCAGACGAAATGAACAGCTCTGAGCAGGGTACTGTGTGGAACCCTCTAGAGTCCCACAGGGATCCAGTTTGAAAACCCTTGAGGTGGCAGAAAGACAGAGCCACATAGCCCTTATCACTCTTTCGTATCTTTTTTTTTTCCTGGTACTGAACTCAGGACCTTGCGCTTGTGAGGCAGGTGCGGTGCCACTGAGCTACATCCCCAGCCCCCTTATTTCTCCTTTGAAAATTAAACTCCTTCAATTTGCCCAGTTTCTACCTGTTAAAAAATGAGTGCTACTAGCTGGGCGTGGTGTCTCATGCCTGTAATCCCAGCACTGGGGAGGCTGAGGCAGGAGGATTGCTGCAAATTCGAGACCAGCCTGGGCTACATAGTGAGTTCCAGGTCAGTCTCAACTACATAGTGAGACCCTGTCTCAAAAAAAAAAAAAAAAAAAAAAAAGAGCGC